CTAGCTCTCAACTTCTTGTCATTTTTTCATCTCCAGGTCACTGTTGCCAGTCACTGGTGTCCTTTAACTGGAGGTTCAAGTCAGAGACTTCAATATCTGTATTGCAGGTGTTCCCAGCTATCTATCTCTCTTACCTCAGATTCCTTGCATGTTCTGCTTTTGACTTAGAATCATAGAATCATAGAATAATTAGGGTTGGAAAGAACCTTAAGATCATCTAGTTCCAACCCCTCTGCCATGGGCAGGGACACCTTACGCTAAATCATATCACCCAAGGCCTCGTCCAACTTGGTCTTGAACACTGCCAGGGATGGAGCATTCACAACCTCCCTGGGCAACCTATTCCAGTGCCTCACCACCCTCACAGGAAAGAACTTCCTCCTTATATCCAATCTAAACTTCCCCTGTTTAACTATGAACCCATTACCCCTTGTCCTGTCACTACAGTCCCTAATGAAGAGTCCCTCCCAGGATTCTTGTAGGCCCCCTTCACATACTGGAAGGCTGCTATGAGGTCTCCACGCAGCCTTCTCTTCTCCAGGCTGAGCAGCCCCAACTTCCTCAGCCTGTCTTCATACAGGAGGTGCTCCAGTCCCCTGATCATCCTCATGGCCCTTCTCTGGACTTGTTCCAACAGTTCCATGTCCTTTTTATGTTGAGGACACCAGAACTGCACACAATACTCCAGGTGAGGTCTCACAAGAGCAGAGTAGAGGGGCAGGATCACCTCCTTCGACCTGCTGGTCACACTCCTTTTGATGCAGCCCAGGATACGGTTGGCTTTCTGGGCTGCAAGCACACACTGAAGCCGGCTCATGTTCATTTTCTCATCAACCAACATCCCCAAACCCTTCTCCACAGGGCTGCTCTGAATCTCTCCTCTGCCCAATCTGTAGCTGTGCCTGGGATTGCTCCGACCCAGGGGTAGGACCTTGCACTTGGCATGGTTAAACTTCATGAAGTTGGCATCAGCCCACCTCACAAGCATGTCAAGGTCCCTCTGGATGGCATTCCTTCCCTCCAGGGTATCAACAGAACCACACAGCTTGGTGTCATCGGCAAAATTCCTGAGGGTGCACTCAATCCCACTGTCCATGTCAGCGACAAAGATGTTGAACAAGACCGGTCCCAACACCAATCCCTGAGGGATGCCACTCATTACTGGTCTCCAGCTGGACATTGAGCAATTGACCACAACTCTTTGCGTGCGTCCATCCAGCCAGTTCTTTATTCACCGAGTGGTCCATCCATCAAATTGATGTCTCTCCAATTTAGAGACAAGGATTTCATGTGGGACAGTGTCAAATGCTTTGCACAAGTCCAGGTAGATGACATCAACTGCTCTACCCCTGTCCATCAGTTCTGTAGCCCCATCATAGAAGACCACCAAATTGGTCAGGCAGGATTTCCCCTTAGTGAAGCCATGCTGGCTGTCACCAAGCACCTTGTTGATTTTCATGTGCCTTAGCATGCCTTCCAGGAGAATCTGCTCCAAGATTTTGCCAGGTACAGAGGTGAGACTGACTGGTCTGTAATTCCCTGGGTCATCCATTTTCCTCTTCTTGAAAATGTGAGCTATATTTCCCTTTTTCCAGTTGTTGGGAACTTCACCTGACTGCCATGATTTCTCAAATATGATGGCCAGCGACTTTGCAACTTCATTTACCAGCTCCTTCAGGACCTGCAGATGGATCTCATCAGGACCCATGGACTTGTGCACGTTCAGATTTTTAAGATGGTCTCGAACCAGTTCTTCTCCTACAGTGGGTGCAAGGCCTTCATTCTCACAGTCCCTACATCTGCCTTCCAAGACTCGGGTGGTGCGGTCAGAGCCTTTGCCAGTGAAGACCAAGGGAAAGAAGTCATTCAGAACCTCAGCCTTCTCCAAATCCTGTGTAGCCAGTTCTCCCAAGAGCTTCCTGAGGGGGCCTACATTCTCCCTAGTCTGTTTTTTATTTGCTATGTACTTGTAGAATCCCTTCCTGTTATCTTTAATACCTCTAGCTAAGTTTAATTCTAACTTGGGCCTTAGGTTTCCTAACCTGGTCCCCAGCTTCCTGGACTACATCCCTGTACTCTTCCCATGCCACCTGACCTTGCTTCCACCTTTTATAAGCCTCTTTTTTCATTTGAATTTTCCTCAGCAGCTCCTTATCCATCCCTGGAGGTCTCCTGGCCCTCCTGCTGCAATTCCTTCTGGTTGGGATGCAACACTCCTGAGCTTGTAGCAGGTGATCCTTGAAGATCAACCAACAGTCTTGGGCCCCGCTGCCCTCTAGGGCTGTATCCCATGGAACCTTCCTAAGCAGGTTCCTGAAGAGGCCAAAGTCTGCTCTTTTGAAGTCCAGGGCAGTGAACTTGCTGCACGCTCTTCTCACTGTCCTGAGGATCTCAAATTCGAGCATCTCATGATCGCTGCATCCAAGGCTGTCCTGGAGAATTACATTTCCAACCAGCCCTTCCCTGCTGGTGAGCACGAGGTCAAGCACGACACCTCTCCTTGTCAGCTCCTCTATTACTTTCAGAAGGAAGTTGTCTTCTACACAATCGAGGAACCTCCTGGATTGCTTGTGCCGGGCCGTACCGTCCTTCCAACAGATGTCAGGGTGGTTGAAGTCACCCATGAAAACAAGGGCCTACGAGCGTGAGGCTTTTCCTATCTGTCTATGGAGTGCTTCCTTCGCAGGTTCTCCTTGATCAGGTGGTCTGTAACAGATCTCCACAGTAATGTCTCCCATAGCTATATTCCCTTTAACCCTGACCCACAAACTCTCTGTGGACTGCTGACCTGTCCCCAGACAGAGTTCCATACTCTCCAGTATATCCCTAACATAAAGGGCAATTCCCCCTCCCCGCCTGTCGGGCCTGTCTTTTCTAAAGAGCCTGTAACCTTCCATTCCAAGACTCCAGTCACAGGAGCCATCCCACCATGTTTCTGTGATGCCTATTATATCATACCCCCGTAGACGTGCACACATCTCTAATTCCTCATGTTTGTTCCCCATGCTACAGGCATTTGTATGGAGGCATCTGAGCCAAGCTCCAACTGAAGCCTGCTCATTGGCTGGAGCGGCTGGGATATCTCTACATTGCTCCGAGCATTTATTATAGGTTCTGGCAACTGATTGGGTGTGTTGGAATGGAATGATGCCCCTCTCCCCCAACACATCTAGTTTAAAGCCTCCTTGACCAGCCTGGCAAGCCTCCTACCAAAACTGCTCTTTCCCTTCTTTATCAGACCAGCTCCACCAGCCCCCACTAGACCTGACCTACAAACTTGGGTCCCGTGTTCAAGGCACCCAAACCCCTGACTATGACACCACCCTTTTAACCAGTTATTAACCTGGCTAATCCTCCTAGCTTTTTTTAGGTCCTCCCCTGTATCCTGGAGAACTGATGAAAAGACAATCTGAGCTCCAGAGCCCCTAACCACCTCCCCCAGGGCTCTGTAGTCCTTCTTTATGTTCCCCAGGCTACTACTATCTATATCCCTAGCACCCACATGTATCACCAGGAGTGGGTAATAGTCCGTGGGATTTAACTAGAGCAGGCAGCCTCTCTGCCACATCCCTGATCCGTGCCCCTGGTAGGCAACACACCCCCCTTGAGAAGGGGTCCGGCTGGCAGACAAGTGCTTCTGTCCCTTTCAGTGTAGAGTCCCCTGCTACTACGACCCGCTGCTTTTTCCTAGCAGCACCAGTAGAGATCTTCTTTACCAGGGTATCAGCCGGCTGTTTCTGGCTCGAGTGCATTTCCTCATTAGCGCCCTGCAGGACAGCAAAGCAGTTCTGCGTGGGGACAACAGATTTAGGGGGAAGCCCCTTGCTTTTAATTGTCCTTTTCCTTCTTTTTTTGTTTTTTTTTTTTGTCACTAATTCCCAGCTTCCCAGGTTAACGGCCTCCTTCTTTCCTTCATGAGGTAGAGGTGAAGCTCGAGGCCCCTGCACAGTTTGGGCCAGGAGCAAGCATTCCTGCTTACTCTCAGCTTCCCTGACATCTCGCAGTCTATTAACAGCATCCCGCAGCTCAGTCACCTGCTGCAGGACTTCTTCTGCATCCACCCTCTGCCTCCAGCCTTATATGCTGAAGATGGTGAAGCAAGACAAGATGATGACAGAGCCAGAGCTGCATTTCTGTCAGTAAAGGGTCATGCTACGAGTCATGTGCACCTTTTGTATTTCTCTAGCCCTGTCTGCCAAAATCCAGCCTGAACTCAGCTGAGGAGCTGGACATGTTGTCAGTGGATATCATGACAGAGCTTACAATGACATTTCTGTGCAGATATTGCAGGGTGGACACCAAAGAGACTGGAGCAGTGCAGGGCAAAGCTTTGAAGTGTGACTACAAAAAGTCTAGTGACAGGAACGGGCTGCCTGGTGCCACAGGGTACTGCTGGTTCCTGAGGAGACCGACTTACCTAAACTGGATACATTGGCAGCTTGAGGGCAGTCTTCCCTTATTTTGAGTCTAAGCAATCTCCTATTAGAAAGAAAACAGGGAATTCAGGGATGGTGATTGGACTGTCCTAGCAGATGTGGCCACAGGGAAGAAGGGTAGGTGGGCTGTGCCTTCTCTCCTTGGGTGTTGCTTACAGGGGGCTTCAAGGTGAAAAAAATGAATTACCTGCCTGTTTGACAGCTCTTTCCTGATTGCATTTTTTTCTGTTTGTTTGTTTGTTTGACTTCTTTTGTGGGGTGCTCCAGCTTTCAGGGCATGTTGCCAGGGGTTATGTGCTCTGCCAAGCGGAAGCCTCACGTTCTTGAGCAGGCAACATCCTGGTTCCACCCTATCCTGAACGGGGTGTGCTCGCATGTACTGTCAAGCACACTTTATTTCAGACAGACATTTGGTGAAAAGAAGTTATGCTAATCCTGCATTTCTCCCATAAACTGACCACTATAAAAACAAGCTGTAGCTTGACACAGCAATGTTGTACCCTTTGGAGAGATCTGAGGAGAAGAGATGCTTCCCTATATGCGCACAGGCTCTTTCCAGGTGACGACATATCCTCAGGCAGCATTTGCTATTGCTGTACTGTGGCATACTTCGACTTGAATGACAAGGGACTTCAACTGATTAGAAATGATGTGAATCACTGTCACATTCTCCAGCAGGGCAGAGATTTCACCTGCAGACCATTGCCCACAGACAAGTCGCTATCACCAGGGCTGGCCTAGAAAAGGAAGATAAAAAATAGTGATGCAAGGGTCTAAACAGAAAGGAAAATAGTTACTTACCTTTGTAGTCATAGAAACATAGAGCCATAGAATCAGCTATGCTGGAAAAGATCTTTAAGATCATCAAGTCCAACCATTACTCCAGGACTGACAAGACCACCACTAAACCATACCACTGAGGGTCTCATCTACATGGCTTTTGAACATTTCTAGGGACAGTGATTGCGCCACTTCCCTGGGCAGCCTGTTCCAATGCGTGAGCACACTTTTGGTGAAGAAATTTTTCCTAATAGCCAATCTAAACCTCCCCTGGCACAACTTGAGGCTGTTACCTCTTGTCCTGTCTCTTGTTACTAGGAGAAAAGACCAACCCCCACCTCACTTCATCCTCCTTTCAGGTAGCTGTTGAGTGAGATAAGGTCCCCCCCAAGCCTCCTCTTCTCCAGACTAGATGCCTCAGTTCCCTCAATGTTCCTCATCACACTTATTCTTCAGAATCTTCGGTCTTGGTTGTCCTCCAGAGGACAGCTTCACTGTCCTCTGGATCTGCTCCAGCACCTCAGTATCTCTCTTGCAATGAGGGGCCCAGAACTGACCACAGGATTTGAGGTGCGGCCTCACCAGTGCCGGATACAGCGGGATGATTGCTCCCCTGGCCCTGCTGGCTCCTAGATCATGAGGAGATAAGAACTGCTGAATTTTTAGTCCCTAGACAGGGCTTTGTATAATGTATAATGTATATATGTGTAATTCAGGGGACAGATGGTAAGTTTGCAGTGGTGAAAGCCAGGGAGCAGGAAAGCAGCTGGGCTCAGAAGCGGTGCCACCTTTGCTAGGCGGCAGCTGAGCCTCCGAGCTTCCCAGTGAGGCGGCAACCCCGCGGCGCATATCGGCAGCCCGGAGACACGGGCTCCCGAGCTCTGCCCCGCCGGGCACAGGCAGGCCAAGCTGGCCGCCGGGGTCTCGGTGGCAGCCGGCAGCGGACCGCGCTCGGCTTCCCCGGCCCTCCTCAGGGCCGCCGCTGTGAGGCTAGACGGGCCGCTAGGCGGCGCTGCGACTGCGCAGAGCTGGGCGGCGTTTTACTGTCTCCCTCGCAGGGGCTGGGTTGGTCAAGTAACGAAACGCTCCCCGGAGGGTAAGACAAGACTTCCCCGGAAAGGAGGGAATGGCAAGCGGCACACGGGAGAAGGGCTGGCCGTTAGGCAGCCAGAAGGGGCTGCTGTGACGCAGAGCCACAGGGATGCTGCAGGGATGGAGAGCAGAAATACGGATAACAACCGTTTCGTAAGAATGCGGCTCTGAAATTATAGGAACGAGGGGGTTTCAATAACGTATTAGGTGCTATATCGGGACAGTAGAAATGCCACCAGAGATGTAGACAGGAGAGAAGCTTCAACCAACATAACCATGCTCTTGTTAAGAAACACTTTAGGGGGATTTGTTAAGACTTGGTTTTGGCTCAGGGTTGCCTGGGATTTTTGCCCATGCACAGTATAAATCGTCGGATGAACAAAGGTTGGCAGTGGGCTTATTTTAAGAATTTCAATAAATACCTCAGTTCTGCATCTAGGAATAAAAGCAATTGGTTTCACTGCTATGGAGGAAGCAGGAGGTGTCTCAAAAGGCTCTAAACAACACCACTGATACCATGCACCTTAACATCAGAAAAGGTGTATTGTTAACATCCCAGAGCTTTCTAAGAGCTGACAGAAGAGTGCTCTCAGTCACTAAAACTCACTTTCAGGAGAACTGGAAGTTGAGAGGATCTCCATCAGGTGGGAAACAAGTTCACATTGGAATTGTACTTTGAAAGGTAAACAGAACAACCTGGTCAATTCAGGCTGTGAACTTCTGTCCAGCCTGTAGCCTGGATTCTTCTCCCTACAGGCTTCATGAAAGTCCAGAGCATGAAATGCATGCAGCTCAAAATGACTGTTAATAAATACCAAAATACAAGGAACTACATTACTTTTGCCAACCGACATGGATTTACAGGAAGTAGATTCTGATGAGATAATTGTTACCTGTATCAGAAGAGTAAGACCTTAATTCATAGAGACTGATATTTTCATATAAAACTATTGCATAAGGCTTTAGTTTTGCACACTTTGTTTTGCTGTTTTGCACAGTTCTTTGATCAAGAGCTTATAGCAAATTAATGTACCAGATATGTTCAAAATCCAGTGGTTAACTCAGTGGTTAGTCTTAATGCTAAACAGTCATCGTTCAGTATCGCTCATTGTTCAGAGCGTTAACCAGAGGAGCTCCACCTGGATTGCGTCCTGGCTATTTTCCATTTCTACCTGTGATAGAGAAGAAAACATAAACTCATCGTATTGCAACAGACCAGAGGAACAGAAACAAAAATAGGTCACTGATGTAATCAGGTGGTAAACAGAAAGCAAGCATGTAATACATCACCTTATTACAGGTAAAGATGAAGCTCTGTATCTAAGAACAGAGAATGAAGGCCACAGTAATAAGATGTGAAACCATATTTCGAAGCAGTGGCTCTGGAAAAGACTCAGAAAAGAATGGCACAGCCCCTGAACAGAAACTCCCACTGAAAAGGGACCTGAAGGGGTATTGTAACCTTTAGATGTACTGAGAGTGGAGTCTTAAGTCAGGCTAGTGAAGTTACAGTAGTTTGGGATTTGTTTGGCACTAATCTTGCTGTTACACTGAAATGCTGGTCTAGTTCTTCGAGGCTCGGATCAGGGAGGATGTTACCACATTAGTGGAGGGAGAGATGGATGTTATTTTGCTCTACTAGATCCAGAGCACATGTGAAGGAGCTCCTACCTCTCCAGGGACTTCCCTTATAGGCAAGAAAATGGTGTGACATAGCCATCAGAATGATGAAGTCTGTGACAGCAGAGCTTTTCCTATCTTGAAAGACGAATAGCTAGCTTCAGATATGACAGCTATCACTTATTAGTTTCTTGGAACTGAAACCATTCAATGCTAACTGAACTTTTCTCACAGGTGGAAGCAAGTACCTTTGAGATCAAGGTTTGCACACTTCTCCTCCATGACTGGGAACAATATTAGGTCCCCTAATATAGTTATCTTAAAAAGGAAAACCTTATACGTGTCTGAGGATAAATGCAAGACTGAACTTTTACTGAACTTCGGAAAATACCAGATTAAATGACTTGATGGAGTTTCCCCCATTCAAGAGAGAGAATGTATTTCATCCCCCTGGAGTTCTTGGAAAGGAGGTGCAGAAAGAAAGGGTTTAGCATGTACCTGAGTTATGCAACCAGCTGTCAATTTGAATCCATTAATTCAGAGCTCTTGTTCAGTTCACTGCAGGGGCTCAGTTCAAGCATCTTGGAAACAAAACCTGGCAAGAACAAGAATTCATGCCTTGTCCAAAGGTTTTCCCAAACCCAGGCACCCCTCTTTTTGCCCTCATATTTTGCTGTTGTACTGCTTCCCCACAGAGCTGCTGATGTCAATGCTTGCATGTGCCCCTGCATGTGGGTTTATGTGCATGCAAGCTACCTGCATTTTAACACCTCCCCGCTGTATTATGTTTTTTCACGTCAGTCACGGCAGCACAGCCTATTTATTTGGGAAGTTAAAAGTACCTAAAAATGTCCATTCTTTTTACTGAGCTGGCATACAATTGCTTTCTGATAATAGAAAAAAGGGAACATTGGAGAGCACCTGCTCCAGCTCCCTGCTGAGAACATGGCTGAGTTAGCACCTGGTGTTCAGCATCATTTCCAGTCAAGTTGTAAGTGTGCCAAGGATGGAGATTCCTCAGTCCCTCTGGGCAACCATTGCCTGAAAGGATTTATTTTTTTCCCCTAACATTGTGGTGGAATTTCTCTTCTTGTTCCTGATAGGCAAGCGTCTACTGGTGTTTACAAGCGAAGGCTGTGCGTTTGATGGCAATGCAATGAAGGACAAACTTCTTTGCAGGGAGGTGGCATTTACATTCTTGAGCATGCTCTTGGTCTATCTGGTTGCTCAGCAACTCGTCTCCAGTGAAACCAGATAAGATTTGAGTAGCAACATTGTTCTCCCAGCCAACAGGCAGTTAAATGACCAGGTAGTTGACCGAAGCGTTTGATGAAGTCAACATAGACTCTGTTTCAACCAGTACTTTAATGATCATTATGTTTACCTCTCTCCATGTCCATCCTCACATTCTAGTTTTAGTAATATCTAGTTTTCTCTCTAGTAGCATCTCTTGAAGGATTTTATAAACCATTCCTAGTATCTGTCTGCTTTCAACTCCAATAGCACTGGTCTCCTACCTCAGATCTTCTACTCACAAGGGATATGCTTTTCCTCCTACTCTCAACTTCATTTAGAATTGAAAATTTCAAAATCTTAGGATTTTCCAAGTTTACTTTTGCATAATGTTCAAATTCCTGATGCTGATGATCACAGCAGACGTAGAGAGGACTCAATCACCAAGAGTATAAATGGCTGGCATTTCCAGTTCCAAGTTCCCACCACAGCTGGAGCCACCATCTGTGAGGCACCACATGGCACATTTGGTATTTTGGGAAAAGTGTTACTCTCAGGTGACCCCTTGAAGAGGTTCCTACTGAGCCAGACAGCACTGCACCTTACTTTAATTCTGGGGTGCCAAAACCTAAGGGGAATCCTTGACTTTCAACTACAAAATGTTACATAAAACTGAATTTACCTTAAGGAAAATTCTTCCTCAAAGGTCAAGGGTAAACAAAACAAAACAGTAATAAAGAAAGCAAAGAAGGGCAGAGACACCATACATGTAGGATTACTGATCTGGAAATGCTACAGCTCAGGAAGCAGAAGCCCAGGTTATGTGGTCTAATATTTTTTGTCAAGTTCATAAACGTTATGAGTTTACTAAACGTTATGAGTGAACACAGTAAGAGATTTATAGAATCATAGAATAGTTAGGGTTGGAAGGGACCTTAAGATCATCTAGAGCTGGCTTTCTGTTACTTCAGAGGAACAGAACCTCCTGTAGATGAAGTAGAAGACCAGGAGG